GTGAGTGAAAAGCTGTTGTGCGTTTGTCTTATTTTCTTAATTATGTAGTTTGTTTTTTCATTTGTGTATTTGTTTATTTGTTTGGATGTTTATTTATCTGTCTATTTGTGCTTTTTGTTTATGTTTTTTTTCTTTCGTTTATCTGTTTATCTATGTATTTGTGTGTTTATTTATTTGTTTCTTTGTTTACATATTCATTTATTTATCTATTTATGCATATGTCTATGTTTTATCTATTCGTTTATCTCGTTGTGTTTTTATTTTGTATGTTTATTTATTTATTTACTATTTGCATATTTGATCATTATTTTTTTCTTTCTTTCTTTCTTTCGAAAATATTGTTGCCTTTGTTTCCTTTATTTTTTTTTTCTTATGTAAGTTAGTTTTGAAAGTTAAGTGTTTTTGTTTTGTTTTTATTATTATCAGTTTTACAAATATTTCGAACGTTGAAAATTGATGTTTTTTTTTTGTTTATTTATTTCTATTTTTTTTAGCAAATGATTCTATTGCGTATTTCCTTTATCAAATCTTAAATTAATTTGCTTTTAGTTTTTTCTTTGACACTTCATTAATAATGATATTAATGATGATAATGATAGAAATGCTAACAATGATGATAATGATGATAACTGTAATGATGATAATGATAATGAAAATAATAATGATGATTATGGCACTAATGATAATGATGATAGTGACAATAATGGTGTCAGTAATATCACTAATGATACTAATGATAATGATAATAATAATGATAAAGATGATAGTAATTATTAATGATAATAATGATAGTAATGATGATGATAATAATAATAATAATAATAATAATGAAAATAATAATAATAATAATAATATTGATAATAATGATAATAATGATAATAATGATAATAATGATAATAATGATAATAATGATAATAATGATAATAATGATAATAATAATGATAATGATAATAATAATAATTATTATTATTATTGTTATTATTATTATTATTATTATTATTATTATTATTATTATCATCATCATCATCATCATTATTATTATTATTATTATATTATTTGTATTATTATCATTATCATCATTATAATGAATTTTTAATTTTAATTTTCAAAAAATATAATAGTAGCATAATATTAATAATAATGGCAATAACAGTGATAATGATAATAATGATAATAAAATAATAATAATAAAATGATAAGGATAATGAAAACATTACTGATAATGATATAACAATGATAACAATAATGATAATAGTGATAATAATGATGATGATGATAGTAATAATAATAATAATGATGATACCAATAATAATAATGATAATGATAATAATAATAATAATAATAATATTATTATTATTATTATTATTGTGAATATTATTATTATTATTATTTTCATAATTCTTATTATTATAATCTCTGTTATCATCATCACAAATATCATTATTATTATTATTGTTATTATTATTATTAACTATTATTTTTTATTATTATCATTATTTTAAAGATAATAGTAATAACGATATTGTACTAATGATAACAACAAGGATCATAATGAAGACAGAAAATAGTGAAACAGAAATATAGGTGTAAACAAAAAAATAAGGAGAGGAAATTAAAGAGAGGATAGACTGAAACAAAGAAAAGGTTTAATGAAAAGAATGAAAGTTAATGGTTGCTTTTCATGGTTGTTGCAACGAGCCAAGTGAGCGCTAAAAGGGAAATGGCTGTTTTGATTTGCCTGTGTATGGTTACATGGTTTTGTGTGGTTTCCTGGTAAGCTGTGTGTGTCTGTCTCTGTGTGCATTCGTGTCTGTTTTATTGTAAGTACCTTTGTGCATGTTTTTGCGTGTTTTTATATTTGTTTGCATGGACTGAGTGTGTGTATTTGCGTGTGTTTGTTTGTGCGTGAGTGCGATTATTTGTATAGTGTACGCGTTTCCTTGTTTGTGTGAGTGTTTGTATGTGCCCGTGTGTTTCTATGCGAATATGTGGATCTGAATACATTTATATGCGTATGTGTATCAATGTACGTATGTATATGTGTATGGTAATCCTGTATAAACACATAAATGTATGCCACACCATGTATGTGCGTGCAGCCACACAAAAGCATCCAAAGCCGTTGTTATGCCACATTCAAGCTTTTCTTCGCCGATGGAGCAGTCACAACCCCGGCGCCATTTCCACATGAACGGGGCCTCCTTTTCCACCTGTTTCCATGCCCTTGCCTAAGTGGAGCGGCTTGGGAAATCCGTTTGGGAGGAGCCATCTCTTTGTCTTTGTCTGTTTGTCCGTCTATCTGGCCGGCTGATCTGTTTTCCTCTTTCTGTCTCTGTCTGGTTGTCTCTCTCTGTATCTCTGTCTCTGCCGGTGTGTGTGTGTGTGTGTGTGTGTGTGTGTGTGTGTGTGTGTGTGTGTATTATGTATAAATACGTATGTATATATCATTCTATCTATCTATCTATCTATCTATCTATCTATCTATCTATATATATAACAATAATGATAATGATAATAATGATGATAAAAGAATAAAGATAATAATAGTAATGATGATAATATGAAGAACAATAATGATAATGAAATTATGATGATGTTAATAATAATAATGATAATAATAATAATAATGATAATAATGATAATAATAATGATAATAATAATAACAATGAAGATGCTGATGATGATAATATCTATCTTTTTTTGTTTGTTTTCCTTCCGGATCGGCGTTTCTTCTCCTTTTAAAGAAGAGAGTATAATAGATGGATAAATAGAGATAAAAGGATAGATGGAGAGAAATATGGCTGAAACTTTTACCTCTCTATAGCTTAATTAAGTAAATCTCTTTCTTGAAGTGTTCAGTAAATAACATCCATAAAAAAGGGATTCTAGGTCTCTTCATCAGCGCCTTCTACCATCACCCTTCACCCCCCCCCCCCCCATGCAACCCGCCACACTCCCTTTAAACTCACCCTCCACCCTTGTCCCCCCCATACCCCCACCCCTCATCTTCCCCCCTCCCCCTCAACCTATCCCTTATCTCCTCCCCCCTCCCCCTCAACCTATCCCCTATCTCCTCCCCCCTCCCCCTCAACCTATCCCCTATCTCCTCCCCCCTCCCCTATCCCCCCTCACCCCTCCCCTATCCCCCCTCACCCCTCACCCCTTCCCTATCCCCCTTCACCCCATCGCTACCTATATAGGCCACTTAAACACACCTCAACTACGTCAAGAGTGAATTCTGGTTGATTTGCAACTCGAAATCTGACCTCATTGTCTTTCCCCTGCCTTTGCTACGTTTGCAAGATGCATTGGTTAGTATGGCATCTGAAATAACTTGTTCTTTAATCTTCTGTCTCTCTATTTTCTCTCTTTCTCTCTCATTTTTCCTTTTCTTTAGCTCTTTAGATTTTTTGGTGTTCTTGTCTCCTCTCTCCCTGTATGAATCTTTCTTCCTCTTTCTGGCTTCCTTTTTGCCTGTCGTTCTTTGTCTTCTCTCTCTCTCTCTCTCTCTCTCTCTCTCTCTCTCTCTCTCTCTCTCTCTCTCTCTCTCTCTCTCTCTCTCTCTCTCTCTCTCTCTCTCTCTCTCTCCTTCTGATTCCTTACCTTCCTCTCCCGTCTCACGTTCTGTCTCTCCGATTTCGCTTCTTTCTGTCTAACTCTCCCTCCCATCTCCTCATTCCCTTCAATCTCATTTCTATATTCCTCTTCATCGTTCTTTCTCTCTCTTCCCTCTCTACCCGCTCTTTTTTTCTATCTCTCTCTCTCTCTCACCCCATCTTGTCCTTCTCCCTATTTCTTTCATTCCGTCTTTTTCTGCCTCCCCCTCTCTTCCTTTCCCTATCCTTTTTTTACTCCGTCTACATTTCTCCTTTCTCATCTTCCCTCGTCTTTCTTCCTGTCTTTGTCATTCCCCTTCTTTCCCCCATGTCTCTCTTTTTTTCTTACCCTTTTCCTTCCCTCTCTGTCCCTCCTTCACTCCGCCTTTCCATTCCTCTGCTTTTCCCATGCCCTCTCTTTCTCCTTTCCCCTTTTTCTCCTACTTCCTCATTTCCTCCCCTCCTCCTCTCTCTCTATCCCTCTTATCCCCTCTTATTCTCTCCTCTCTTCCTCTCTCTCTCCCCTTCTCACCCCCCCCCCCATCCCCCATCTCCCTCTCGCTATGAAGACTATATGCATCAAATATTTACAGTTTACGTGACCTTTTGTGACATCCTCCCACGAGCCGCCAATAGCAGAATGACCTTTCCCGTGTGACCTTCGTGTTCGTCCGTGTTATCTCTGTCTTATCGACCTCTGGGGGGTGGATTGGCGGGGGTGGGGGGGTATTGAACTTAGATAGACTGGTAGGCGGATGGGAGGGTGTGTGGGTGGGTGGGTGATTGGATCAGTGGGTGGATAGAGAGTTAGATTGGTGGAAGAATGGATGAATAGACAGGATCTAGATAGATAGACAGACAGTATATATAGATAGACAGATAGACGGCATATAGAAAGGGTAGATATACAGACACACACACACACACACACACACACACACACACACACACACACACACACACACACACACACACACACACACACACACACACACACACACACACATACACACACACACACACACACACACACACACACAAACACACATTGAAACATCATAGAACTGAGGATTAATCGAAACATAGGGATAGAGATGGACAAATAAACAGACAGACAAGGTGACATGAACTCTACGCGACGAGAACCCAACCATATTCGAATGTGATGGAAGATTTTACAGCATTATGTTGATAAGGGTTGAAAGGGTGAGATAACGAAAGAGAGAAGAGAAGGGGAGGAGACAAGAAAGAGTAAGAAGAGGAGAGGAAAGAGGAAGGGAAAAAAAGGGTGGAGGCAAGAGAGGTGAAGAGGAAGGAGGGAGGAGAAAAGGAGGAGGCAAGAGAATGTACGAAGATGGAAAGGGGGAAGAGCGAGAGAAAGAGAGGCGGCAGGAGAAGGAGAGA